CTTCAACACACTTTTAACCCAAGGGCCTTAATCTTGCCATTTGACTGTGTGTTTGGCTAAGGAAATGTGTGGCCATGATTTAACAACATCAAACAGTGCATCAGGAACATACCATTCATGAGATTTGTGAAATGTCAAATCTTTAAAAATTTTGATTTTCAGTTTTGCTGTTGTGGTTTTGAAATTGAGACAGCACATCTCTGCTTTGTCCAAACATGAATTTTAATCAGCTTTTCTGTTTTGCAACTTCCCTTTTTTTCTCAAACTCTTCATCTTTCCCTTCACTCACATGTACAGGGCAATGTAAGTTGCCTTAAAGGAGAAGTTTGGTTTTTTTCAACCTGGTCCTTATTTCCAGCATATGGTATGTAGAACTACTCACCCATAAAGGTTTGGAGTAACTTGGAGTCCTTCGAACGCTTTTAGATCCACACGCAATCGGCGTAGCTATATCCATACAACGCAAGTGACTGGGGCATCCACAATACATATATATAAGCCTCTAATTAATGCATTTTGTGCCGCGAAACTCTTGATTTACTATGAATCTGCAGCACTAGTCCCCTGTGAGTCCAAGTTGCTTTGTTTACATCCCGCGCTTTCACTTGGGTGACGTCACTGAGGCGCACAGCCGCAGACCAGCTGACGATCAGCTGTTTTTGTTTACACGGAGTTTGCTGCTGCTAGTTTTGCGCAACATGCCAGAATACTTATCAGGTGCTTTACAGTACAGTATTCTTTTAAAGCAGCTGTGTCCTGGTGCTCGGGTGTATTCACCTGGTTAAAGGCTAGCTAACTTCAGCGGGCTAATGAGCAGCCTCGGAGCTAGCGTTAGCTTAGCACACCATTTGTTGATTAAACATGAAGACAACTCGCTCTCGGTTCGCTAAGCTAACGCTAGCTCCGAGGCTGGCGAGACTCACAGGGGACTAGTGCTGGCGATTCATACTAAATAAAGAGTTTCGCAGCAGATAATGCGTTATTTAGAGGCTTTATTGTGTATGCCCCGAACCCTTGCGTTGTATGGATATACGGCAATCGCGTGTGGATCTAAAAGTGTCCGAAGGACTCCAAGTTACTCCAAATCTTTATGGGTGAGTAGATCTTCATACCATATGCTGGAAATAAGGACCAGGTTGAAAAAAAACGAACTTCTCCTTTATCTCATGTATGTTGTGTTTGTGTGAAATGTGTTCCTCAAGTGCTTTCTGAATGAGATCAGCATGTAAAAAATTCCCAGCTTATGTGCAGAGCTTCCATCCATACACATATATCTGTCAGGGCTTATAAATGTGTGAGTGTCACGTGTCTTCAAATCAGAAAATCATTTCACATTTATCCAAGTGGGTGTTGAAACGAAACAAATTCCCAACACACATTACACCCCATTCCATTAAATGTATTTATAGTCAGATAGCAGGATATACTGTTTTAATTTTTCCTGTACATTATCATGACAAGATTAGGGCATTGTAAATCTTTCTTTAACAATTTGACCTGATGCCACAAATTCACATAATTGCTCATTTTTGGTTTCTCTGAAAATGTTTCTGTCTTAAACACGTAACATATGGCACCAGAATTTCCATGAAATGTTACATCTTTATTTTTACAGACTGTGAGTGTGAAGAAGACTTTTTCTGTGTATTTGTGTATGTGCAAGGTGCTTCTTAAATTATGGTGTGTGTGTGTACTTGATCAGTGCAATTACCAGTCTGACTATGCTGCTCACCCTCCTTCTTCCTCGCCACCACCTGGAGTCAGTTATATGCTTGCATATTTTTCTTCCGACAGTCTCTAGACCAATGTCATTTTCCCCCACAGTTAAAACATGCATCTGGATCGTTGTTCACACGTCTGCCTCGTCCTCTACCCACTCATAAGCCATGTCCGTGAAACATTGTCAGTGTTGCCATGTGCAGCTGGTCTTCTTTTTCCTGGTTTTCGTTTGAACAGTTTTTCAGCAAAGTTGCTGGTATGACTGATGTTGATGAGGGTGTGGCTGACGATGACACACTAGATGTAGATGGTATGGTGCATGCTGCAGCTGTCTGCTGACCCTGTGGTAGGTTGAAGGGTTGCTCTGGAGCAACAGTCTCATCCAGTCTCTGCAGTGACGGATAGAGCCTTCTTGGCGGGGCTTGGTCGAGGTTGGGGTCATCCTGCTTTAAACACTGAGACACTGCTATTAATTTTGTTGTTTCTGCCTGTTTTCTATCCCTGTTTCATGCTTCTTCCATCCGCATATTAACCTTTGCTGCCATCTCATCTTTATCTCTCTCTCTTCTAAAAAACACATTCTTATATAAATATTATAAATATATAAATATGATTAATAAATATATATATATATTTTTAAATTGTATATGACTAATCTCCAGAAAACACTTTTTTTTTTTTTAAAGAAAGAATTTTTGTTTGTGCCTCTAGCGCGACTTTTACTAAAGTCTTACTTCACACAATGTTATTTTTGCAAATAGTAATCACCCTTATTCTGGTCTTAGTAAACTCTTTGTAGGTGGATGCACCCGTGCAGTTGAAAACTGTTTTTGGGTTATAAACCCACAGGGACTATAAACCCCAACAGATAGGGACTCCAACCCTAGATAGACAGACCCAAAATTATATTAAAAGTGTGCAATATCTTATATCAGGTTGAACATAACAAACTTGAATGTATAATGAAAGTTAAATAACAATAAAAGCAAGTGCTAAGGGGAGGATAAGGCTGAAGGAGTTTCTTTAGGACATGCATAATTATCTGCAAATCCCACTTCTGACACCATCTTGTGGTGGAAATTTGAAAATAAAAATGAAACACTGAAATTGTCTGTGATCTATTTATTAAGAGGAAGCTTTTTCGCAAAAGGATCGCCCAGAGCTCTGCACATCTCACTCTCAGTGTCGATAACAAACAATAATGAGAGAAACATTAACAATAATAATTTTTTTAAATATTTTATTTAATATATAAAAGTAAAACATTTAATATATATATTTATTTAATATATTATAATATAATAAAATGTACTATATCAATATAATTAAATCAGCTTGATCATTAGTAAAACAGGTCTCACCCAGAACTTGTCGCATGAAGCTGAGTTCTGCCCAAAGACCAATGTGGGCCATCACAAGAGAAAATGTTGAACGATAAGGATCCCCATAACACTGAGTGTATACAGAGCTATTAGCAGAGGTGACATGTCATACATGACCTACTGGCAAAAAGCCAAAAATCTCCCTTCATGTTGGCAGAAATGAGGCTAAAAGACTTTTCAAACTATCTACTCAAACTGAACTGAACAACCAGGAAAAACCCCAAGGATAAAACCCATAATGTTCAATTCCTTTTGAACAAACCTGATTCTCAAGGGTGATTAAGCAAAGGTTTTCATTAATTGTGGGGGAAAAATAGAATACATAGTCTAACCCTTCACCCTGTGTGTTTAAGAGTGTTATGTTTGTGTTTTTTTCTCTCTCTCTCTCTCTCTCATCTCCTCCAGATGTGTGCTTTTGCCTGCACCTCCACTGGCACAGCTGAAGCCACTCCAGAATCAGGGAGAGGCAGATAACCCTGAGCAGAGCTTCAGATGTTGCCAGTGGGCCAAGCAGCAGGGTGGAACGTGTATCTTGCTCAAACAAGCTGCGAGTGAACAGTGTAGTAGTGTGCCTTAGTTGGTTGGTGTATTTGTGCACATTTGAACTCTTTGATTTACTTTTGTTAGTGCTCTTTTTGTGGTCCTGGTTCATCTTGAGTTTGTTGGAGATTGTTTTCAGTTGATTGTTCTCTGTTGGCTTATTTCCTCTTTAGTTCTGTAAAGAGTGTTTTTTGTTTCATGCAGATTGTAAGTTTTTTAATAAAAGACCTGATTTTCCTTGAACGCATCCTGCTGGTCACTTGTTTTTCCCCTGGTTTAGTTTTAATTGTTTGTCCCTCAGAGAGTAACACTGCAATGATCATGCTGAAAAACACTCATCTATATATTGACAATTGCATAGAGGGTATTAGTTCAATTGGAGAGTAGCTGAAAGAGAAATGTTATGTGAGGACAAAATTTCCACGACAAAGGTCTTTTCCTTATGACTTCAAACACAGGAAAAAAATTACAAAAACTTTTGTTAGATTTGGTGGTCTGTCCCTTTGTTCCTGGTAGTTTTACTTCTCCTTATTTCTTTTTCTGCAATTCATTGTGAAGCAGCATGAGAAACAGTTTTTACAATGTCAAGGTCAAAACATCTCATTAACGTATTATATCGATGTCTCACTGTCGTTTGTCAGGTGCATTTGTAGCCAAGATTGCACGTCCGCAGAAGCGAGCAGGAGCCATCCAATTCAGCCCCCAGGCAGTGGTGGGCCAACACCAGGGCCAAATGTGCCTCATGCTACGAGCCACCAACCTACTGCAGCAACCTCTGGTGGATGTAAAGGTGAGTGCTGTGCTCTACGAGGAGCGTGAAGGTCAGGCCCTTCACCAGACTTCTCTGGACTTCCTCTTGGATCATCTGGGGCAGAAGCCCTGTCCCTTCTTTATCTTCCCACTAACCTTTTACCACCCGTTGGATCGCCAGAGCCCCCTTTACCCTGCACTATGTGAGGGCACATCAAACCACTTTGAGTTGGTGGTCTTTCTGTCAGCTTTGCAAGAGGGAACTGGCGACTCCTGTCAGAAGAGGACCTCGTACTTGCGTCACGAAATCCAGTTCGATCGTTGCTTTGTTCCAGCGTTGGGGATGGATGCTCGGGGGAGGTACATGGTGAGCACCCAGCACTTTGATACAGCCCACTCAAAGGAGCCTTTTAACAAGGATTGTGCGGTGCAGATCAATGGAGATGGCAGCGACAGGATGGAGTAAGGATGCTGAAGGAGAGTGCTCATAGGGACAGATCAAAGCATCAGTGAAGCTGTGTTTTAAACTACTTGATTTAAATTGATAGATCTGAATTTATGTTGAAACATTATAAATTAAAATGTGTAACAGACATGGGTGCTGCAGTTGACTCCCTCACCTGGTTGCCTAATTCAACACCAAGTGTAATAATGACCCCCAGGCTTTCCACCCATCAGTACTTCCAGTTGTGTTGATTGGAATGCCAGAATACTGTTACAAAATGGTTATTATTTTTGTTATTTGGTTCCGTCTGTGAGAATAACAACATACTTACCAGGTGAATAGCTAACAACTCAAAACATGGTTACACCACTTAAAAGTCATCTAGAGGGGCAAGTAACAGGAATGGTCAGGCCATCAGACAGTTTGAGGACAAACGTATTGTGACAGTTTACAGATACACATCCTGTTTCAACTTTGACCTGCTGCTACTGTAGTTGCTTGTTAGAATATGACTGAATTTTGAGCTATGCCTCATATAGTCTTATTATAACTGATGAAACCAATGGCCAGAACACAAAAATACTTCTGTTTAAATATTTTAAAAATGAATTTGTCTGTCATTATTCTTATTTTGTGTAAGGTTACTTGTGAGGCTAAGCTATATTTAAAATTATTTGGTTGGGATGGCACAATCAGTTTCAAATTCAGCAGCTTTAATCAACGTTTAATCATAAATAATGGAGCAAATTGTTATATCTAAAATATAAATTAATTGTAAAGGGATGCACAGAGGGTCACAAATTCCTTTTAACTGTCTAATTATTGCATCTCATGTGGTTCTTGATTTAGGCTTTATGATCTCATCAACCTTAAATCCAGTCACAGCTACTGTTGTCTTTTCGTAAACAAGATCTAAAACCCATTATCCACTACTTGGTAGCATAAAGCAAACACATCTGGTTAGACAGAAACTGGTAAACCTAGTAAAGCATTTGATGGCTAAAGAGACAAATATTTCCCTTCGGAGGTGGTGGAGACCAAAACAAAAATTAAAGATAGGGAATATTAAACTGATTCATCAGATAATCACAATTTGTTTATAAGATGAGAATATGTGCCAGGGGAGTCTACCAACTTCTTTTGTCAAATAAATTGAGAAATGTAGCTTTAAGAAAAATATTAATTTAATTTTAATGCCCTTATGTGTATTTGAACATTTCTGACCTTGTTGACAATCATCTATATTATGATCAAATAAATGGGGGGGGGGGGGTTAGAATAACACTCAGATTTCCTGTTTAGAGATGTTCTGATACCAATACCAGCATCCGAAATGCCTCCACCAACCCTATACCAGTAGTTGTGCTGTACCGCCATTGGCAAGTAATGAATTAAGAGTGGTAAAGAAGAAGTGGTTTCCAGGAGTGTCGCGTTTGCTGGAGCTAACTAAAATGTCAGGAATTTGACAATATTTCATACTGGAAAGTCCCACAAGTAAAACAGCAACCTATTTGAAGGAAGTAATTGTTGTGTATTCCTAGATTTATTTATGAGTGTTCTTTTTCAGTTATGACTGTCAAATGAGATAATAAAAAAGTTCTATGGCATTCATTATCTGTATGTTTTGTTTTTCAAAGTGTTTAACCTGAGCTAGGCCATACAGCAGCAACAGCATCATCACTTTAATACAGGGTTATTTGCAGACAGCTGGTAATGTACGTTCTAAGTTGTTTTTAAATGCACTGGTATCAGATCAGAATTTGGTATTGGCCAATATGCAAAGTTCAGATATTGGAATTGATATCGGGAAGGGAAAAGAGGTATCAGAACATTTTATTAGAATGCTGCTCTTCTTCATGTGGTATCTGCGTTTGAAAAAACAATCTCAAATGTGTTCTGCCATCTTAATTTTGGACTAAAAACTGTATACCTGCATCTGTTGAAATTTGGTTTGATCAGTTCAGTTTCACAAGCAAATCATATTAAATCGAATTTGAAATAGAAGTAAAGAATATGGCTTCAATTCTAAATTAAATTAAATCTGCAAGGAGCAATAGTCAGGCCTCGCAGTCCACACTTGCTGGGGTGTGCTGCAGCAGTGTAGTTGCTGGAGGTTGATTGACATAGCTTGGTTTTGCGTTAAGCCTTTACACAGTACATAAAGGAATTAAATGTCACATCCCGTTGAAGCATGCATCCACATGTTGCTGTGGTTGTGACACGTGTTAAAACACATTGAAGAGATGGTGGCTATATGCCAGCCAAAGAGAGAAGCTGTAAGCAGCTCCTGCAGTCACAACCAACACATAGGTCTTTCAGCCAAGATCTCTAAGTAGTGCATCTAAATGTTGAATTTCCTCGCCTCCAATTAAATATGTACCACCCACAGACGTTTCTGAAGTTCCTATCTTCATGAAAGTAAAGCAAAAAAAAAAGCTCTTGCCATTAGGTGATGCTATGATTATGTTGAATTTGTAAATGTGTTCACATCACATTTAAACATGTTAATCCTTGTGCAAATTGGACAATGCACTCTAAAAATAGTGGAACTTTCTGTTTCATGGTGATATGGCCACGGGCATGCTGTCGGAGGAAAACTAATAATGAGCACAACTTTTCATAGTCAAGGTTGTTTATTTGCACTGACCAAATGTGAAGTTGTTGTGATTTATTCTGTAGGAGGAGTTAACTCATGCCTGCAAATAGCAAAATTGTGCATTACAATCAAAATCAGCAATTTTTACTTCAGTAAGTCTGGCTATGATTAACTATTCATGGCAACAGCATTCGACAAGAACGAACATTCACAAGTTATCTTCATCACATTACAGCATGGTCTCAGCAACAAATCTGGTCATAGGAAAAACAGTATCTGGGTTCAGATGTGGTAAGCGCTTTAATTTTAGGTAGGGGCTTGTGAATGATAATTTAGTAGCCAGATTAACAAGCTGCTGTCATGTGCTGAGTAGCAGAAATGTTCAGGATATGCAAAACTGAATGAGGAACATGAACCACATAATCATGATCCAAAACAATGAGTGAAATTAGTTTTCTTTTCTTTTTTTTTCTTTAAATCTTGAGAGCAACAGCGGCTACAGCCCTGAGACAGAAAAGAACTACAGGAGACAAGCATGACGAGTAGTATGCAACAGGGCCGTAATGAGACTTGTGTATCTGCACAAGGATGTTTCTGTGGCATAATGGTTGTTCTCTCATTAAAAATCTTTTCCATCTCCTTTGTCCTTTGTGCTTTGGTCTGCACAGCTTGAAGCATGGCAATGCACATGATGGAGTCCATGGCAGCTTAATTGTAGATTTTGTGTCTGGAATAGTTCCCCATTCCCAAAAAAAGGGGGCATTCCCTTTTTTGTCTTAGGAGGAGGCATATCGTTCAAGACTTACACTTTCTTAGGCAATGACACCTTTGTCCATCTCTCAGCACGTTTCCCAAACATGTAACCTCTGGCGAGCAGATCTTCAGCTTAGCCAGGATTGCTCTGTGATCACATTCAGGACGTCTCTGCAACAACAAATTGGGTAAGAGCTTTTTTTTTTTTCTTTACTTTTATGAAGATAGGAACTTCAGAAATGTCTGTGGGTGGTACATATTTAATTGGAGGCAAGAAAATTCAACATTTAGATGCACTACGTAGAGATCTTGGCTAAAAGACTTATGTGTTGGTTGTAACTGCAGGAGCTGCTTACAGCTTCTCTCTTTGGCTGGCATGTAGCCACCATGTCTTCAATGTGTTTTAACACGTGTCACAACCACAGCAACATGTGGATGTGTGTCACTTTGAAGCCTAGTTTATGCTTCTGCGTCACGGCGTCGTTGAGCATTCGAAGTTCTGCGTCGAGGGAACGCGTTGCTCTGCAATTCACCGCCATGCCGCTAGGGGGTGWAGCTGTGTGTTTGTGTGGTTATAGCCGAATCCTCGCTTTTTCTTCCGTAAAGTAAACAACAGTAAATAATGGCGACCGAGGTGGAGCAGCTGTATTTGTTGTTGGAGCTCATTAATATTGAAGAATAAATGCTTATATTGCAAATGTTGAAGCGCGGGCGACAGAGAAGACGTTTGCGGAGGTGATTTTTACGACGAGGAAGAAAGACCGGAAAAGCAACTGCCGGAACTTACGTTCTGAGCGGACCAATCACAGCGCTTGCGGTCCGCGTCAATGCGACGCGTAGTTAGGATTTTTTGGAGGCGCGCATCAGGCTACAGCCTAGTTTATGCTTCTGCGTCACGTCGTTGAGCATTCGAAGTTCTGCGTCGAGGGAACGCGTTGCTCTGCAATTCACCGCCATGCCGCTAGGGGGTGTAGCTGTGTGTTTGTGTGGTTATAGCCGAATCCTCGCTTTTTCTTCTTAAAGCATCACCACCCGACCCAGTTTAACCAGCTGGGGAAACAAAGTGCACCTCGAGATGCAGAGCCTTCATCCCGACAGTCAACACTCACTGAGGCGTTTGGTTGACAAAGTAAATATAAACGGAACAGCGCAAAATGGTGTGCGCTCATTGAAAGTGAAGTTCGCTACATCACTAAAGGTAAAAAACACTGAGAAATAAAAATTTGTCTTTGAAAGGGTGTGCATTATCATGATATATCATCACAATAATATCGTTTATCGGCAATAATTCGTGTGACAATATATCATCCAGCAAAATTATCCAGTTATCGTCCCAGGCCTAACTCAGACCATGGGTCTAGTTGGGTTCTCCTTGAGATGACGTCAGTTGTTCAACATGGATTTCAATACTCGACTTTGTTATAAAAACGACCTACTTTGCACTACAATCAACCACAACTACCTCCTCTTGCACCTCTCTTTGCACTATTTTGTATAGTTTTTAATGTCCTGTAAACATGTTTATTTTATTGTTATATTTTATTTCTTTGTTTTACTAGATGCACATTTCAGTGGTAGCTGCTGTAATTTCGTCATGTTTCATTGTGTGATGGCATTAAAGGCACTCTATTCTATTCTGTTTTAAAACAACAGGAAAAATTGGCATTGACAATACAAAATCTAAAAAAATATTTAAACAAAGTTATGATGAAGTGATTTAAAAAACAAAAATTAGCATTTGATACAGTATTCTTCTGGTCAGCTTCCTGTTGATTTGGCTGAAAGAAAATAGAAATATTCTGGAAAAAAGTGACTCTATCTTTAATGTGCATAGGAGTGAGTAGATCTATAGATAAACCCTTATGGTGAGAGTGGAAAGATGATATACTAAATAAATGCGTGAAGAAGTAAAAAAAAAAGTCAAATTTACAGTGACTCTATGTCTGATCACTGTTTTGTCCTGGGGTCAGCCATCCCTGGTGGCACTGAAGAACTTTGGAGGAGAGGAAATTGTTTTGTATCATTTAATTGTACAACCTAATATCTAAAGGGCAAGGCTGCACATTATATCTCCACCATGACCATGACATTTGCTGTATGAAAAATTAAACATAAAGCAATATAAAGCAGACTCTGAATTAGACAAATCTCTGTGATAGGGAATCCCTGATGGAAGGATATACAACATTCAAAGTTCAGACAACTCACGATCTACTGTTTATTGCAGCATTAGAACATTGACAGTTTGTATTTGATATGATTACTTACCCAGATATGATGGGAGTGACACGCATCAAAAGTCTGATCATTATTCTCAAATTGGTTCCGACTCAAGAAAATAAGCTTGTTATCACTCCAGAGAGGAATTATCCTGAAGATAAGCTCTTCTATCTGAGAAAGGGAAGAGGCAGAGTAAGTCCTGTTAATTAGTTGAATAGGTTCTGGGTGTTATTGCTTGTCCGTTCCCTTGTTTTGGTTCTTGTTCTTGTCAAAATAGTGGTTTTATTGTATGGAGATTTGATAGAGGTCAACCTGCAGTTCATAGTACCTGGTTTATTTTATTTGTATCAATTCAATCATTCATTTGTCAAATCATAACGCATTATATAGTGAGGTAGTGTTCCTCTTGTTCGTCACACAAAGGGGCAGAACCTGGTCCTGCTGCTTAGTTGATGTCCTTCTATGGCCCTGTCCAGCTCTCCTCATGTAACAGTCTCCTGTATCTCCTCCATGGTCTTGAGACTATGCTGGGAGACACAGCAAACCTTTCTGCGACTGTAGGTAAGGATATGCCATTCTGGAGAAGCTGGACTACCTATGCAGCCTGAATGGGCTGCATATAGTGCTCGTGCTACCAGTAGTGACAAAGACACTAGCAGAACACAAATCTAAAGAAGAATCAATCGGAAGGGATAAGTAGAGACTATTGTCTGTGGCCACCACATGCGAGACCATTCCCTTTTGGGGGGTTGTCTTGCTTTTGCCTCTCCACTTCACCTGTTGTCACTTTCATTTGCACCAAAGAAGTCGAAACTGATTCATCATCACTTGTGCTTCCTTAATGGACCGATCGATATCCCAAGTTTAACTGACTTACTGTGAAGATTAAGTGTTCCTTTTATTTTTTTTGAGCAGTGTATTATGCTACACATGACAAACGACATTGCCAATGTTGTGATTATACTACATTAAAACATGGCACAATTAAATTGTGTGCTTTTGGGCATTCAATAAATGTGATAAATATTAATATTACAAATATTAATATTAAATAATAACTTAATTGATCAAAGATAAATCAGGCACCACCCTTCAAAGGAAGGGAAAAGATAGCCAATTAATTGAATAAGTCATGAAATTACTGACTACAAATTTTGAATATAACCAAAATTACCACATCAATAGCTAGCAAAGTTGAAGGATATGGAGTTCTTGACAGTGTAGAGGTTGGCAGAATTCACACTTATGCAACATTAATGAAGACATCTTTTAAAGAAAAACATTTATTATAAACACACAAACTGACAGAAGATGTACTTACTATATATAGATGTGGAGATGTGCATGCGAGTATGCGTGTGTGTGTGTGTGTGTGTGTGTGCAGGCGTGTGTGCGTGCGTGCGTGTGTGAGTGAGAGTGAATGAGATTCAAAATGGCGGCTGGCCACTATGAAGACAAAAGGACCCCTGGAGCGTATGTGTTAAGTTTGGGGAGATGAGTGTGTGAGGTGTTGGTGCCAGGTTAAAGAAAGTAGTTAGATGCATGCAAAGAAAGTGAACAGCATAACAGAACTAACATTAACTTTCAAAAAACATATTACCAAATATCACAACACAAGTCAAACTTATAAACATGTCCAGTGGTCTTGTTGGTTTTTGGCTCTTGTTGCGCATCTGTTGGTCAGACCTTATGTTGTGGCCAGTTGTGCTGAAGACGCTCTTGTGTTGCTACCTTTGGAAGGTCTTAGCAGTCTGCTCCTGGCAGGCCTGCTTGAAGTTGGAGAGCTTGGGTAGGGAGGAAGTCTCCCTGGCTGGGAGAGCAGGAGCAGTGCCTACTCCTCTGGGAGCGGTCAGTAGGGAAGAGGAGCAGGAGCAGTACCTACTCCTTCAGGAGTGGTAAGTAGGAAAGAGAGAGCAGGAGCAGGTCTAATCCTTAGGAGCGGACAGCAGGAAAAGAGATAGAGGAGAGGAGAAACTCAGCTTATATTGGCCTTGTGACCTCATGGGTCATTGAAAGTTGTCTCCAGGAGTAGTTTTACCACCTTTGTGTGAAGATGAATCACCCTGGGAGACTGAGTTCTAGAAGCTGTTCTTTGTCTTCAGAGCAAAGGAGACATGCTGTCAGGCTTTTGACGACACATGTAGGCCCAACTATGGTTCACAGATACCAGGTCCCAAAACTATTTCACCACTACCATACAGACAACACAACACAACACAACACAACACAACACAATGCTCTGTTATTCAATACAGTATTAACTCAAATGTTACCATATCTGTCTAACTGTGATGCTTATCCTAAATATATATTTGTAAAATAAATCGCTTATTTAAACATAGCCTATAACTCACCCTATCATTGACAAGCAGCATCTGTGTAGCATCATATAGAATTTTGGGGTTTCTATTTTTGCATTTTTATATTTGCAGCATAACCACGTTCTTTTCACAGTACTCTGGTTCAGTGGATAAAAATGTTGGTGATGTCGTCGTCGTGATGAGAATCAAAGCTCTGGACAAAGACCTTGAAAACACAGACAACTGGGTGACTGTCTTTACAATTGCAAAAGGAAATGAAGATAATATCTTCTCCATTGAGACAGACAAAGAAAGTAATGAGGGAATCCTGAGGTTGATTAAGGTATATATACTCACACAATTTCATTAATTGTTGAATTAAAATATTTTGGTAATTTACATTTTTTTGTAATTACTATAACTGATTTTGGGGTAGGCTCTGTTTGCAACCTCTTATTTCTTGCTGTCTTGTCTTTTAACCTTGACCATGCCCTGGACCTGAACCAAAAGCCTTTGGATTTTGAAGAATTCCAGAATCTTAATCTTGGCCTACTCATTGAGAACGTAGCTCCTTTTGTGGAAGGTGGTGCTATGCTGATGGATGTGGATGTTCTGGTTGGAGAAGGCAGTCCTCTGGCTGCTCGTGTTGGTGCTGGCATTGTCGTTGGTGCTGGTGTGAGTGCAAGGGTCGAGGTGGGAGGAGACAGTGAACTGGAAGGAGGTGGGGACATAGGACCTAATTCTGGGGCAGGTCTTGCCCCTGGACTTGCTGTTATACCTGGTGTCAAAACAGGACCAGTGACAAAGCCACATGCACCAACAAAAACTTATGCTATTAAGATAGCAGTGAATAATGTGCCAGAGGGTCCAGTATTCATACCTGATATTAAGAATGTTCCTGTATCAGAAGATCAAAAAGAAGGTCCTGAGGATGGTGTGATCACAGTGTTTGCTGCTCTCRATCCAGACACAGGAATACCAGCTGAAGATGTAAGGTTAGTTAAACTGCACAAGCTACACATGATAGTTCATTAAACAAGGAGAGTTGACAGCCAACATAGCAGGGTTGAAAATATTGTAAATCATTTTGCAGAATAAGGTCATGAAATTGACTGGACACATTGATAAAACGATCTGATAATACTGATCCAATATTTTCAAGACATTTAACTCAGTAATGAAACACTTAACCTAATGTTTATTTGGACATATATATAATATAATAGTAAAATACTTCTTTGATGTTGATCACCAGTTACCTCAATTATATTGTATTTGGCTGCAATGCTAACCTTAATCCGAAACTCATAGTGTTTTTTGGACTCAACATAATATGCATAGTGTTGAGTAGATAATGAGTAATTTTTTTATATTTTGTTGTGAATTACCCCTTTAAATAGTTGAAGATGCTGCCATAACTAATGGTATTCTTGAGTATATAAGATTAACATCACTCTCCTCATTGCAGCCAAGAGGCAATAACCTTAGCATAAATACTAAAAGGACAGGAAACAGCAACATTGTGTTCATCACTGAGCCTTGGAGGTGTTGACAGGTCTATACCATTTTCCCCTGCTTCCAAAGTTTATGTTGAGTTTGGCCAATCATTTTTTGTCKTTATATACTGACTCAGACATGACTACAAATGATCTTCTAATATAATTCTATAGCAAGAAATTGATTTAGCACATTTAACCAAATTTAAACATTTCCTTTTAACAAATATGATTAAACAATTAAACACTGTTTACTGTTACTGTTCTTGTTAATTGTTTCCTTACTAACATATTTGTTGTTGTTCAGTAATGCTAAAGTCTACGATCCAGACAACTGGTTTACCATTGATGAAGAATCAGCTGTGATTAAACTCAACAAGGTACCAGATAGAGAGTCACCATTCTTGGAGAATGGCACCTACATTGCCAAGATTCTGGCAATTACCAAAGGTAATACTTTTACGTTTTTATGCCTCCACATCAGCAACAGCCAGTGACCGGAAGCATTATGTTTTCATGTTGTCTGTTAGCACGTCCCATCTTTGTGATCATATCTCAAGAATGCATTGGAGAAATGTAGGGCTCAAGAGCTCATGAATGAGCTAATATAATATCTCAGGAACTCCTTCAGCCAATCCATTCAAATTTKTTACAAATATTCACTTGGACTCCAAACTGAACTAAAGAGAATTTGGTGATCAAAGGTCACCATGACCTAATGTTTTTTTGAATATGATATTCAGGGAACACACATAAGGACTTTCAATGTGACCTCACATCCATGTCTTAGCAGCACCTCTTGTCACATTGGCACATATGCTTACTTGGACTGAGGGATGTCTTGACACTTATCACAATCTTTGTGGTCAGCATGCCTATTGTGATMATTTGTAAGAGATTTAATACACTGAMATTTTTTTTGATACAAATAAAAAACAATTAAGACAAGTTMAGCAGGTCAATCCCATTCTTCTCTTTGAGAGAATTAATGCTGTCTTGAAACATCCTGCAGTTTGGACTTTAGTGGAAGGCACTTCCTATTGCCCTAACATTTTTCACATTCATCCAAGGTGTTAATGTTTTACCAGAAAGCACTGCAGATTAATTTTAATAGGACCATTGCCATCCATAATTTGTGTTAGTAAGAGATTAAAATTATAAATCAAG